ATATAAACGGAATATATAAAAAGAAAAAATTCAAGATTTATTTTAGTGTCTCACTTAAATGAAAATGATTAGTGAACATTAAATCAATTTGAGTTAAAAGCAATTTTTGAGTTTGATACAAAGTAGATGATTTACTTGCTTTTATTAATTGTGTGAAAAAATATTCTACATAGTCTCTTTTTTCATTTGCACGCATTTTTCACGTTTTCCTATTATAGATTCATGTGTAATTTTTTTAAAAATTCTTGAATGTCTTCGAATCATTTATTCATATGCATCTTGAATTCACTAATCAAAGTGATGATGTTAATGATGTAACCATTAAAGTGAAAATGTGTAAAATATTTTTTTTTAACATTACAATTTTATATCGCGATAAAAAAGTGATAGGAGTCAGGAAATTATTAATTTTATTAAAACAAAAATCTGCTTGTAAATCTGACAGGTTAATTTTTTTGGACTTATAATTATATTCAGTAAACATTTCTTCTCTTTACACACACATACACATTGAATATTATCTATTTTATGAATTCTGAAATCTCTTTCTTGACATTCTATATTAGTAGAAATAATATACGTAGAAACATAAAATATAAGTAATTTTTTCATTCTTCTTTTAGCAACAGATTTTTTATTTTTGCTAAGAAATGACTTTTGTCACTGTCATTGTCACTTGCATCTTGTCACTTATTACTGTCGCTAACCGTAGGTAATTTCTTGTTCTAAGAACAAGTAAACGAGCAAGTAAATATTGAATTCAAATTCTTATGTGTTTGTAATAACCATTCTTTTTTCAACTTGGTTGTCCCACACAATTTATGATTTATTTTAAGAATTGCAAGGTAGGAGTTTCAATTCAGAAAACTTTTGGAAACAAGTTATTCGAAACAACGTACAGCAACAAGATAACCTACAGATATACTATTAGAATTTTTAAAAATATCAAATATATTATCTTTAAATATTAAAAAATTTAATATTATAATATTGTGCATATTATATATAATATTATGCATGTGTCGAAATCACAAAATTAATGTACACGTTGCATTTTTTTTACACTTGAAGATTTAACTCTTATTTTAGTATTTGCAACATAATTATTCATCTTAAATGACAATTAATGATATATGTATAATGTGTGATATCAATTACGTAATATTGTAATAATACTTATAATAATATAGGTTATATTTATTTATTTAAATATTTATTTGCACTCGTAGAATTGATCGTTTAAAATCTGCAAATTAACACATTTCCATATATAAATACGTATATTATATACATACAAATATGTCACATGAATATTGTGTATATAATGAAGAAACTATGTCGGAAAGCTTTACGGTAAATCTGATCGATCGCGCGAAACGTCCTCTCTTTTCCGCTCCGACGAATATCGTAACTCCCGGTTAATGGACATCGTCAACAACGATTAGTTGCTGGTCTGCGGCGCAAAACGATTTGGACGGATTTCAGAAATGCGTCTGGCGGAGGCGCGTCGGTTTTAACATCTACCGATGGCTTTGTCCGCGCTTGATCCAGCACACAAACGGTGCTTAATCGACGTGCTTTAGTCGCTTCTGTTCACAAATAGAAACGAAAAGAGCTTTCGGGTGTGACAGATTATTTCATACTTCTTGCTTTTATATTGAGAATGCTAGCGAACAAAGATAGCCGCATACGTTTTTCTTTAACACATTTCTTTGACAACGCACACTGTAAAAAAAATATGTAAAATTACATTTCAAATATGTAAAATGACATAAATAATAAATGTAAAATTACATGATAAATAATGAAAAGGTAAACATTTCTGTTATTTATCGTGTAATTTTAAACTTATTATTTATGTAATTTTACATATTTTTGTGTAATAGTATTGATTATAATTAGATAAGTTTAATGGGGAAAATGTAAATGTCTTTTATATCTTATAAGAATTAATTATTGATTATTTATAATCTCTCCAAGATTATTATCTCTCCATTATTTATATTGTATTTCTCCAGTTATCTCTTCAAGTTTGATTGATTAATTCGAAATTATAGAGATATAAACGATATTTTATTTTTAAGCGAATTTTTCTTTGGAACTGCAGTTTTTGCGAGCAATCGCATTTATGATTTTGAATTATATATTTCAGGTGTGAATAGTAAGTTAGAAAATTCAAGAAAATTATTAAGTTATTATTTGGCTAATTAAGTGCAAATAAAATGCAATTATATTAAAGAATTTAACACAAGTTACAGTGTTGTATTGCTCCGTTTTCACAAATGAAAGAAGAAATAATTTCTATCTGTAGAAGAGATAGAAAAAATAAAAATTTAATGACATGTATTTTTAATGTACATGCACGTTTTAATCTGCATATACATGTAATAATTCATATATACGGAGAGAATTTTTCGTTACATTTTATAACATTCATTAATTATTTTAAAGTATTTGGTAATAACTGAAAAATTATTATGCTGCATGTTAAAATTATAATGAATGATTAAATTGGATTGAAAATATTATGCTGTAAAATTTATATAAAATATTTTGTATGATTATAACTTTTTGATATCTGTTCTATTTCAAACACTTATAGAATAGACAATTTGGATTTATTTAATAATGTTTTTTTACTATATATTTTAGTAGAATTCGTCAAACATGTTTTATATCTTATTGTAGAAGATATTAATATTTGTTATTATGATAAAAATATTAATTAGAGAAACGCTTATAAAAGTTTTGCAATATGTTATTGTTTCATGATTGCATAATGAAATTCAGGATAAAGTCTAAGAAAAAAATTCTCTCTATATATTAATTATCTCGTGTACACTATGGATTGAAGTTATCAGTTATTGTACAACTGGACGCGTTGTCATTATATTAAAAATTAATGTCGGATTTTACAAATAAAAAAGTAAAAGACGTGCGAGAAAAAAATTAAATAAACCACTGTCGGTCATCATGATTGATTTAGTTTGATGCGAGATGTTCATTGCTTATTTAGTACGATTTGTAATTAATGAATAATTAATTCTCTGGATGTGCATCAAGCATATGTATTATGTAGTCAGAATAACATGTAAACTCCATTAAACATATTGGGCATATTGTAATGAGCATGTTTTCGGTATTATTCTGTTTTCATTCATTGGCGGGTCTTCTTCTGACCACTGTCTTACACTCATTGTCTCTGCTTATATGCTTTTCTGTCTTTTCGGTTTGAATTTACACCACTTGATTTTTTGCCACAATCTTTTATATGTGTAGCTGGAAATAAAAGCAATTTTTGTAAACAAAAATTTTTATTTATATATTTAAAATTTTTTTTATAAAGTTATCAAATACATATGATAATAAGAAATATATTAATGACTTATAGTATATTTCTTATTATCATATGTAGAATAAGTTGTAGTCCAACTTCTTCTATTCAATTAGATATAATTGTTCTTGCTCTTCATTTTTAATATCGCTGTCTTAGCGGTCTAGTAATATACCGAAGTTATTATAACATATAGAAGTTTATGTGAATGACATTTTAAATCCAAATATCAAAAAATTTTTAAATAAATGTTTTGTTATTTAATTGCATTTATGAACAACTTATGTTTTTATATAGACTTAATTATTTAAAGCTTTTTTTTCTTATAGTTCAAATTTATTAAAATTAAATTTCTCTATTAATTTAATTTTAATTAACGATATATTTTATTAATTAATTTTTGTCGATTAAATAAGTAAAGAAGATATTGTATTATATATATATATATGTATATATATATATATATATATCTTTTTTTTTATTTAAAGCTTTTTTTTCTTTGCAGTAGAAATTTGTTAAAAATCTATTTTTTATTTATTTAAATTAAACTCACGAAATATTATCAATTAATTTTTGTTGTTTAAATAAGTAAAAGAAGTATTGTATTATATGTATAAATATAAATATTAAATTTAATTTTTGCTTAATTTTTCTTCTTGAACTCGCCTCTTACTTCTAGTTCTTTTTATAATAAAAAGCTGTCGTCACTGTGATTTTTTCTTTTCTGTTGTTACTTTTACTAACTGCTGTTCGCTTATGGATAGATTTGACACTGAACAGGCACATAAATAGCAAGTGCAGAGAACATTAAACTGCAGCTTAGAGATATTTATAATAACACAGACATAGATATTTTTCTTCTTGCCGTATAACCTTGTCATGTAATAAATAGAATATTTGCAGAATTCACGAAATTGTTAAATTTCGATATCTATATTAAAGCAGAGAACATTTACTTAATTGACTAAAAATAATATATAAGAAACAATTTTTAAATATTATATAAAATAATTTTTGTTGCATTTTTTAAAATGATTTAATATAACTAACAAGTGCGGAAAGCAATTAACTACTTGATTTTTGATTGATATTGTTATATCTTATAGTTTTACACAACATTTTTACTAGTTTAATATTTTATTCTCGAATTCTACATTCTATTTGTTTGTGAGATCTTTTAGATTAAGGATGTAACAATAGTAGGGAGGGAAGTGAAGGCATAAAGAATATAATAAATTACTGAAACTTGCTTTTAATGTACATGTACGCATTTATGTACATACAATAATTCATATACACAGAAAGAATTTTTTGTTATATTTTACCATAAAATTCATATTTTATCGTGTTTGTTAAGAAGTCAAAAATTATCATGCTGCATTAAAATTATCATGAATGATTACATTGGATTGAAAATATTATGCAGCATTGTCAAATTTATATAATATATTGTGTATTTTGTTATAACTTTGTTTGGTATCTATTCTATTTAAAACACTTAGAATTATAAATTTACAATTTTGAATATATTGAAAAATGTTTGAAATTTTACTATATATTTTAGTAAAATTAATCAAACATTTTTCATCTTATTGTAGAAGATATTAATATTTGTTATTATGATAAAAATATTAATTAGAGAAACGCTTATAAAATTTTTGCAATATGTTATTGTCCCATGATTGCCATGAATTTCTGGATAAATTTTCAGACAAAATTTTTTCTGTGTACTAATCGTTTCGCACATACAGTATGGATCGAAGTTGTCAGGTATCGCACAACTGCACGCGTTGTCATTATGTTAGAAAATTAATATCGGACTTTAAACCAAAAAAGAAAAGAAAAGAGTGCGAGTATAAAATTAAATAAGCCGTTGTCGGTCATTATGATTGATTTAGGTTGATGGGAGATGTTCATTACTTATTTAATACGATTTCTAATTAATGAATAATTAACAAAAAATTATTTTATTTTTTATCAGCAATATGACGGAGCATATGTCCTGTATATGTAGTGACATTATCAAACTGCGCGCCACATATGCTGCATGTCAATTTGTTTGGCTGTTTATTCTGAGCATCTTGTCTTCCACTCATAGTCTCTGCTTGTATGATTTTCTGTCTTTTCAGTTTGAATTTTAACCACTTGGTTTGTTGATTGTTTGCCCCAATCTGTTATTTGTGCTGCTGGAAATAAAGACAATTTTTGTAAACAAATAATTTTGATTTATATATTTAAAAATTTTTTTTATAAAGTTTAGTGAAACTATTTTCTTTTTAAATTTACTGTTATATTTTTATCTGTAACTGGAATAATTGTCATCACAAACTGCTGTTATAATTAACCATCTGTTCTTTATTGATAATTTAAGTGATCGAAGGTGAGGTATCATATTCACGAAAATTTCATATGACTTGAAATGAATTACGTACACGATTGTCTTTTTAGATATGAGAATAGACTTCTATGTATTATACTGTAAGATATAAAGGTCATAAGATGAAATGTAATATAAGGGAAACCATGTCTAATTGGACAGATTTAGATATGCCGTTCTTTTTGATAAGACATTGATAAGTAAACACACACCTTACAGTAAAATTAAATCAGCAAAAATATCAAATACATACGAAAAGAGGAAATATACTAATGAGCAGTAGTCTAATATAATGTAATCACAAATTTAATATCAACTATCCCTTACATTGGTAATTTGATAGTTCAATGAATTTGAGGAGGATTTTCTATTAATAATGCTACTTTAAACTGATTTTATTCCATTCATTTTATTCTACCATTTATTATTATAATAATAGCATTAATTCATTTATTTATTTTTTATTTAACAGGATTTTCTTTTCAAGATTATTTTTTTATAATATACAGAAGTTTATATGAATAACGATTAAAATTTAAAGATGAAAAAAATTTAAATAAATTTTTTGTTATTTAATTACACTTCTAAATAACTTATGTTTTTTTATAAATTTTGTTATTTAAAACTTATTTTTCTTTACAGTTGAAATTTATTAAAATCAATTTTTTTAATAATTTAATTTTAATTACCGCTATATTTGATCAATTAATTTTTGTTGATTAATATGTAAAAGAGATATTGTATTATATGTATATATACATATATATAAATATTATATTTAACTTTTTCTTACTTTTTCTTTTTGAACTCGCCTCTTACTTTTAGTCCTTTTTATAATGAAAAGCTGTCGTCACTGTTATTTTCTCTTCTCAGTTGTTACCGCTACTAACTGCTGTTCGCTTATGGATAGATTTTACACTCTACGGGCAAATAAATAGCAAATGTGGAAAATTGAACTCAAGCGTTTAAAGATGTTTATAATAACACACAGATATTTCTCCGATTTACTTTATAACCTTGTCAGATAATAAGCGGAATATTTTTAGAATCCTCGAAATCGTTAAATTTCGATACCTATATTAAAGCAGAATATTCAGGCGTCAAAAAATAATATATAAGAAAAAGCATATTTTAATATTGCATAATTTAATTTTTATGTTGTTGCATTTTTTTATTAATGATAAAATATAATGAACAAGCGTCGAAAGCAAATAACTATTTGATTTTTAATTGATTGATTTGTTCTTACAGTTTCACACAACTTTTTTTATTAGTTTAATACTAAATACTTTATTCTCGAATTCTAATTTGCAACATTCTATTCGTTTGGGAGATCTTCGAGATTTACGGATGTAACAATACTAGGGAGGGGAATAAAGGCATAAAGAAAATAATAATTTACTGAAACTTGCTTTTAATGCACAGATACGTATTTATATACATGTAATAATTTATATACACAGAGAGAATTTTTCGTTATATTTTACCATAAAATTTATTACATATTTTATCGTGTTTGTTAATAAGTCGTAAATTACCATGCTGCATTAAAATTATTATGAATGATTACATTGACTTGAAAATTATTCAGCATTGGCAAATTTATATAATATAATGTGTATTTTTTTATCACTTTTTTGGTATCTATTTTATTTAAAACACTTAGAATTATAAATTTACAATTTTGAATATATTTAAAAATGTTTGAAATGTTACTGTATATTTTAGTAAAATTATTCAAACATTTTTTTATATCTTATTGCAGAAGATATCGATATTCGTTATTATGATAAAAGTATTAATTAGAGAAACGCTTATAAAATTCTTGCAATATGTTATTGTCCCACGATTGCCATAAATTTCAGGATAAATTTTAAGACAAAGCTTCATCTGTGTATTAATTGTTTTGCGTATACAGTATGGATTGAAGTTATTAGCTATCGTACAACTGGACGCGTTGTCATTATGTCAAAAAATTAATATCGGACTTTAAACCAAAAAAGAAAAGAAAAGAGTGCGAGAATAAAATTAAATAAGCCGTTGTCGGTCGTCATGATTCATTTAGTTTGATGCGTGAGGTTCATTGCTTATTTAATATAATTTCTAATTAATGATGAATAATAAATCAAAGATTATATTTTATGAACAATACGCACATGCACTGTAATTATAGTGTAATTTTCAAACTGACAGCCACATAATGTGCATGTTATTTTGTTTAGCGGTTTATTCTGAGCATCCTGTCTTCCACTCATAATCTCTTCTTGTATGATTTTCTGTCTTTTCGATTTGAATATACACCACTTGGTTTGTTGATTATTTGCCCCAATCTTTTATTTGTGCAGCTGGAAAAAAATTAATTTTTGTAAATTAATGATTTTGATTTATATATTTAAAAATTTTTTTTTATAAAGTTGAGTGATATTATTTTCTTTTTAAATTTACTCTTGTAATTTTATATGTAATTGGATTAATTGTCATCACATACTGCTGTCATAATTAATCATCTGTTCTTTATTGATAATTTAATTGATCGAAGGTGAGGTATCATATTCACAAAAATTTCATATGATTTGGAATGAATTACGTACACGACTGTTTTTTAAGACATGACAATAGACTTCTATGTATTATACTGTAATACATAAAGAACATAAGATGAAATGTGATACAACGGCAATCATATCTAATTGGTAAGATTAAGATATGTTGTTCTTTTTGGTAAGGAAATTATATATTTTACAGTAAAAGTAAAAATATCAAATACATATGGAAATGAGCAATATATTAATGAGCACAGTCTTATAATGTATACTTGTAATATACAGAAGTTTATATGACTGACAATTAAAATCTAAAGATAAAAAAATTTAAATAATTTTTTTGTTATTCAATTACACTTATAAACAACTTATGTTTTTTTTATAAATTTTGTTATTTAAAACTTATTTTTTCTTTACAGTTGAAATTTATTAAAACTTGATTGGTTAAATAATTTAATTTTAATTAACGCTATATTTGATCAATTAATTTTTGTTGATTAATATATGTAAAATAGATATTGTATTATATGTATATATATAAATATTATATTTACCTTTTTCTTATTTTTTCTTTTTCAGCTTGCTTCTCGCTTTAATCTTTTTTATAATAAAAAGCTGTCGTCACTGTTATTTTCTCTTCTCAGTTGTTACCGCTACTAACTGCTGTTCGCTTATGGATAGATTTTACACTCTACGGGCAAATAAATAGCAAATGTGGAAAATTGAACTCAAGCGTTTAAAGATGTTTATAATAACACACAGATATTTCTCCGATTTACTTTATAACTTTGTCAGATAATAAGCGGAATATTTTTAGAATCCTCGAAATCGTTAAATTTCGATACCTATATTAAAGCAGAATATTTAAGCGTCAAAAATAATATATAAGAAAAAATATTTTAAATATTGTATAATTTATTTTTATGTTGTTGCATTTTTTATTAATGGTCAAATATAATTATCATTATAATTATTATCATTAATATTATTATTATTATAATTATTAATTATAATATATAATGATAAAAAGAAAAGCGCGGAAAACAAATACCTATTTGATTTTGGTTGATATTGATTTGTTCTGACAGTTTCACAAAACTTTTTTTATTAGTTTAATACTAGATACTTTATTCTCGAAGTTTACATTTGCAACATTTTATTTATTTTGGAGATCTTTGAGATTTACGGAAGTAACAATACTAGGGACGGGAATGAAGGCATAGAGAAAATAATAATTTACTGAAACTTGCTTTTAATTTAATGTACATATACGTATTCACATTACATATGATAATTTATACACGGAGAAAATTTTTGTTATATTTTACTATAAAATTCATTACATATTTTATAGTGTTCGGTATTAAGTCAAAAATTATCATGCAACATGTTAAAATTATCATGAATGATTAAATTGAATTGAAAATATTATGCTGCTATGTAAAATTTATATAAACTATTTTGTATCCTTATCACTTTTTTGGTATCTGTTTTATTTAAAACACTTTTAATCATTAATTTATAATCATTAATTTTTGAATATATTTAAACATTTTTTAATGTTTCTATATATTTTAATAAAATTTATCAAACATTTTTTATATCTTTTTGTAAAAGATATTAATATTTGTTATTATGATAAGAATATTAATTAGGCAAACACTTATAAAATTTTTGCAATGTTATTGTCCCATGATTGCCATGAATTTCAGGATAAATTTTAAGATAAAATTCTCTCTTCATTAGGGTTGTCTCGTGTACAGTATATATCGAAGTTATCATGTAAAACTGGACGCGTTGTCATTATATTAAAAAATTAATATCGGACTTTACAAACAAAAATAATGAAAAGAGGTGAGAGGAAAAAATGGAAGAAGTCGCTGTCGGTCATCATGATTGATTCAATTTGATTCGAGAGATGCATCACTTAGTTAGTGTGGTTTGTAATTAACGAATAGTAATTAATGAATAGAAACTCATTAACGTGTGACAAATTTTGTACGTCTATGAAGTCTATCTATATGCCCTTCCATCTCACGAAAAGTTATAAACTTCATTTTACATAGTGGGCAATAGTATGGTGAATCTTTATCGCTATCATCTTTTTTCGTTCCATTCAATTTGCTTTTCTGATTATGTCGCCTGCCACTCATAGTCTCTGCTTGTACAGTTTGTATAGATTTTTCCTTTTCTGTATCAATTTGCACCACTTTGTCTATTGATTATTTGCCACAATTTTTTTTACCCGCACAACTGGAAATAGAGATAATTCTTTGAAAGCAAACAATTCTGATTTTAGATATTTTATAAAATTTTGATACAGTTGAGTGATTATCATATTCTTGTCAAATATACTCTTATAATTTTATAATTGGAATTATTGTCATCATAAACAGCTGTACATATATTAATAGTTTGTTTCTTATTGGTAATTTAATTTATCAAAAGGTGAGATATCAAATTCAAGAAGGTTTCATACGACTTGAAATTAATTACGCACACGGTTGTCTTTTGAGATATGAGCAATCACAGTCTTCTATGTACAATATTATACTAGACTAGACCACATAAGGCTTATAAGGTGAAATTTGATGTAAGAACAGTCATATCTAATTGGACAAAATTTGATACGCCGTATCTCTTGATAAGACGCTGATAGTGAATATACATTTTACAGTAAAATTGAAACAATAAAAAATATTAAATACTTTTAATATACATATAAAAATAAGAACTATGCTAATGACTTATAGCATATCCTATATATTCTGTTCAATTAGATATACTTGTTTTTGTTCATCATTTTTAATATCGCAGTCTTAGAGGTCTAGTAATATATCGAAGTAATTATAACATACAGAAGTTTATGTGAGTGACATTTTAAATCCAAAGATCAAAAAATTTTTAAATGTTTTGTTATTTAATTGCATTTATAAACAACTCATGTTTTTATATAGACTTTATTATTTAAAGCTTTTTTTTGTATAGTTCAAATTTATTAAAATTAGATTTTTCTATTAATTTAATTTTAATTAACGATATATTTTATTTTTGTCGATTAAATAAGTAAAGAAGATATTGTATTATATGTATACATATATACATGTATAAATATTATATTTAACTTTCTTACTTTTTCTTCTTGAACTCACCTCTTACTTTTAGTTCTTTTATAATAAAAAGCTGCCGTTACTGTTATTTTTTTCTTCTCAGTTGTTATTCCCACTAACTGCTGTTTGCTTATGGATAGATTTTACATTGTACAGACAAGTAAATAGCAAGTGCAGAAAATATTGAACTAAAGCGGGTCAGAGATATTTATTAAAACACACAGATATGATTTTTCTAGTTGCCTCATAACCTTGTCATATAATAAACAGAATATTTTTAGAATCCGCGAAATCGTTAAATTTTGATATCTAAATTAAAGCAGAACATTTAAGCGTCAAAAATAATATATAAGAAAAAATATTTTAAATATTGTATAATTTAACTTTTATGTTGTTGCATTTTTTATTAATGATAAAATATAATGAACAAGCGCGGAAAGCAAATAATTATTTGATTTTTGATTGATGTTGATTTGTTCTGACAGTTTTACACAACTTTTTTTATTCGTTTAATACTAGATATTTTATTCTCCAATTCTAGGTTTGCAACATTCTATTCGTTTGTGAGATCTTTGAGATTTACAGATGTAACAATACTAGGGAGGGGCGTGAAGGCATAGAGAACATAATAATTTACTGAAACTCATCTTTAATGTACACATACATAATTATATACATATGATAATTCATACACGCGGAGAGAATTTTTCGTTATATTTTACCATAAAATTCATTACATATTTTATAGTGTTCGGTATTAAGTCAAAAATTACCATGCTGCGTGTTAAAATTATCATGAATGATTAAATTGAATTGAAAATATGCTACCATGTAAAATTGATATAAAATATTTTAAAATATTTAAAACACTTAGAATTATGAATTTATAATATAATCTTGAATATATTTAAAAATATTTAAAATTTTACTATATATATATTTTGGTAAAAATATATAGTATAATAAGTAAATCTTATTGTAGAAGATATTAATATTTATTATTATGATCAAAATATTAATCAGACGAACGTTTATAAAATTCTTGCATTTGTTATTGTCCCATGATTACCATGAATTTCAGGATAAAATTTTTTCTGTGTATTAAATGTGTCGCGTATACATAATGGATCGAAGTTATAAGCTGTCGTACAACTGGACGCGCTGTAATTATGTTAAAAAATTAATATGTGATTTTACAAACAAAAAAGGAAAGAAAAGAGTGCGGGAATAAAATTAAATAAGTCGCTGTCGGTCATCATGATTGATTTAGTAGATGCGAGATGTTCATTGCTTATTTAAAATACGATTTGTAATTAATGAATAATAAATTAAACATACTTATTATTAATAGGACATGTATGTGCAACTAAGTCAGAGTAAATTTGAAACGCTTTATAACAAAATAACCGCATTGATATATTTTTCTGATTTCGGTTTTGCTTTTATTATCTACATAGCTCTTTTTCTGACTTTTCTGACTTTCTAGTAGATGGGAGATGTTTATTGCTTATTTAATACGATTTTTAAATATTGGTTTTTTTCCTAAGGCACAGGAGCTTATGTTCTAGAAATAATTTGCGATCCTCATACTGCGCGCCACATATTGAGCATTGATGTATTTCTCTAATTTCGGTTTTCTTGTTATCATCTGGGAAGGTCCTTTTCTGATCACTCTGTCTTCCACTCATAGTCTCTGCCTGTATGATTGTCTGTCTTTTCGGTTTGAATTTAAACCACTTGGTTTGTTGATTATTTGCCACAATCTGTTATTTGTGCAGCTGGAAATAAAGGTAATTTTTCTAAACAAGTAATTTTGATTTATATATTTAAAAATATTTTTTTATAAAGTTTAGTTAGTGATTATTATTTTCTTATTAAATTTACTCCTGTCATTATATTTTTAATTGGAATTATTGTTAGCACAAACTGTTGTCATAATTAACTTTCTGTTCTTTCTTGATAATTTAATTGATCGAAGGTGAGGTAACATATTCACAAAAATTTTATATGGTTTGAAATGAATTACGTACACGATTGTCTTTTTAGACATGACAAGTTACATACTTATATGTATTATACCAAAATATATAAGAGTTATATGGTGAAATGTAATGCAAGCGAAGCCATATCTAATTAGACAGTATTAGATATGCTGTTCTTTTTATTGATAAGATATATATTGATAGTAAATACACATCTTACAGTAAAAGTGAAACAGTAAAAAATATTAAATACATATGAAAATAAGAAATATACTAATGACTAGCGGTCTAATAATTTACTTGTAATATATAGAAGTTTATATGATGACAATTAAAATCCAAAGATAAAAAAAATTTAAATAATTATTTTGTTATTTAATCACACTCATGAACACCTTATGTTTTTGATAGATTTTGTTTTTTTAATCTTTTCTTTTTTTACAATTGATATTTATTAAAACTCCTTTCTTTATTAATTTAATTTTAATTAACGCTATATTTGATCAATTAATTTTTGTCGATTAAATAGTTAAAAGTAAAAGAGGTATTGTATTATATATATATATATATATACATACAAATATTATATTTAACTTTTTCTTACTTTTTTTTAGAATTGCCTTTTGTTTTTTGTTCTTTTTGAATTAAATAAATGTTGTCACTGTTCTTATCTCTTCTCAGTTGTTACTGCTACTAGCTGCTGTTCGCTTATGGATAGATTTTACACTCTACAGGCAACTAAATAGCAAATGTGGAAAACATTTAACTAAAGCGCTTAAAGATGTTTGTAATAAACACACATATATTTCTTCGATTTGCTTTATAATCTTGTCATATAATAAACAAAATATTTTTCGAATCTGCAAAATTGTTAAATTTCTATATCTAAATTAAAGCGAAACATTTAAACGAAGAATGATATATGAGGGAATATGTTTTAAATATTATATAAAATAATTTTTATGTTGTAGCATTTTTTATTTGTGATAAAATAAAATATTAATGAACAAGCTGGAAAAGCATATAAGTATTTGATTTTTGGTGGATATTGTTATTTCTCATAGTTTGTTCACAACATTTTTTATTAGTTTAATACTATACTTTATTCTCGAATTCTACATTTGCAATATTCTATTCGGTTTGGAAACTGAAATGTACGGATGTAACAATAGTGCAAGGAGAGTAGTGAAGGTATAGAGAAAATAATAATTAAATCAAACTTATCTTTAATGTACACATACGTAATCATATACATATATGATGATTCATACACGGAGAGAATTTTTCGTTATATTTTACCATAAAATTCATTATATATTTTATCGTGTTTGGTATTATGTCGAAAATTACTATGCTGCATGTTAAAATTATCATGAATGATTAAATTAGATTGAAAATATTATGCTGCTACGTTAAATTTATATAAAATATTGTCAAACATGTTTATATATCTTATTGTAGAAGATATTAATAGTTGTTATTATGATAAAAATATTAATCAGAGAAACGCTTATAAAAATTCTTGCAATATGTTATTGTACAATCATTGCCATGAATTTTAGGATAAATTTTAAGACAAAATTCCTTCTGTGTGTTAATCGTTTCGCACATACAGTATGGATCGAAGTTGTCAGGTATCGCACAACTGGACGCGTTGTCATTATATTAAAAAATTAGTGTCGGACTTTTCAAACCAAAAAAGAAAAGAAAAATGTGAGAATAAAATTGAATAAGCCGTTGTCGGTTATGATGATTGATTTAGTTTGATGCGAAATGTTCATTGCTTATTTAATACGATTTCTAATAAATGAATAATCAACCAAAGATTAATCTTCTGAGTGAGCATAATGCAAATGCGTTACATAATCACTGTAAGTTAAAAACTGCATGTCACATTCTGTGCATGTTATTGTGTTTGGTTTATTCTGAGCAATTTGTTTTCCACTCATAGTCTCTGCTTGTATGATTTTCTGACTTTTCGGTTTGAATTTACACCACTTGGTTTGTTGATTATTTGCCCCAATTTTTATTTGTGCAGCTGGAAATAAAGATAATTTTTGTAAATTAATAATTTTGATTTATATATTTAAAAACTTTTTTTATAAAGTTGAGTGATATTATTTTCTTTTTAAATTTATTCTTGTAATTTTATTTGTAATTGGATTAATTGTCATCACAAATTGCTGTCATAATTAACCATCTGTTCTTTCTTGATAATTTAATTGATCGAAGGTGATGTATCATATTCACGAAAAGTTCATATAATTTGAAATAAATTACGTACACGATTGTCTTTTTAGACATGACAATAGACTTCCATGTATTATATTGTAATATATAAAGGCCATAAGATGAAATGTAATACAAGGGCAATCATATTTAATTGGACAGATTTAGATATACCGTTCTTATTGATAAGACATTGATAAGTAAATACATCTTACAGTAAAAGTGAAACAGTAACACACATATGTCAAATACATATAAAAGTAAGAAATACACTAATGAGCAGACGTCTAATAATGTACGTGTAGTATACAGAAGTTTATATGATGACAATTAAAATCCAAAGATAAAATATATTTTTAAATAAATGTTTTGTTAATTACACTAATGAACAACTTATGTTTTTATATAAATTTTGTTATTTAAAGCTTTTTCTCCTTTGCAGTTGAAATTTGTCAAAAATCGATTTTTTTATTAATTTCAATTTAAGTAACGAAATATATTATTAATTAATTTTTGTTGATTAAATAAGTAAAAAAGATATTGTATTATATGTATAATAAATTAATATTTTATTTAACTTTTTCTTACTTTTTCTTCTAGAATTAGCCTTTTGCTTTTTGTTTATTTTGTATTAAATAACTGTTGTCACTGTTATTATCTCTTCTCAGTTGTTACTGCTACTAACTGCTGTTCGCTTATGGATAGATTTTACACTCTACAGGCAAATAAATAGCAAATGTGAAAAACATTGACCTAAAGCTTAAAGATGTTTATAATAACACACACAGATATTTCTTCCATTTGCCTCCTAATTTTATTATATAATAAACAATATTTTCCGAATCTGCGAAATCGTTAAATTTCTATATCTAAATTAAAGCGAAACATTTAAACGAAGAATGATATATAAGAGAATATGTTTTAAATATTATATAAAATAATTTTTATGTTGTAGCATTTTTTATTTATGATAAAATAAAATATTAATGAACAAGTTGGAAAAGCATATGACTATTTGATTTTTGGTAGATATTGTTGTTTCTCATAGTTTCACACAACATTTTTTACTAGTTTAATACTATTGTATTCTCGAATTCTACATTTGCAATATTTTATTCGGTTGGAAAATTTCTGAAATATACGGATGTAACAATAGTACAAGGAGAGTAGTGAAGGCATAAAGTAAATAATAATAATTAACTGAAATTTATCTTTAATGTACACATACGTAATCATATACATATGATGATTCATACACGGAGAGAATTTTTCGTTTTATTTTATCATAAAATTCATTATATATTTTATCGTGTTTGATATTATGTCGAAAATTATTATACTGCATGTAAAAATTATCATGAGTGATTAAATTGGTGGATTGAAAATATTATGCCGCTACGTCGAATTTCTATAAAATATTTTGTATTGTTACAACTTTTTTTGGTATCTATTCTATTTAAAACACTTTGAATTATAAATTTATAATATAATTTTCGATATATTTAAATGTTTTTGAAATTTTACTATATATTTTAGTAAAATTGATCAAACATTTATTATATCTTATTGTGGAAAATATTAATATTTATTATTATGATAAAAATATTAATCAGAGAAACACTTATAAAATTCTTGCAATATGTTATTGTACAATAATTGCCATGAATTTTAGGATAAATTTTAAGACAATATTCTTTCTGTGTATATTAATTATATCGCGTATACAGTATGAATCGAAGTTATCAGCTATTGTACAACTGGACGCATTGTCATTATATTAAAAAGTTAGTATCGGATTTTGCAAACCGAAAGCGGAAAGAAAACAGTGCCGGAAAAAAATTAAATAAGCCGTTGTTGGTCATTAAGATTGATTTAGTTTGATGGGAGATGTTCATCGCTTATTTAGAATCGTAATCATTGAATAATAAATAAAATATTTCATTATGCATTATGTGCAAAAATCATATGCACATAGAGCAGAGACAAATTTGTAAAAATTGCCTGACATGTTGGGCATTCATAATAATATATTTCGGTATTCTCCTGGCTGTTACTCATTGGCAGTGTCTTCTTCTGATCAATCTGTCCTCCACACATAGTCTCTACTTGTATGATTTTCTTTTTTTCTGTTTGAATTTATGCACTACTTGGTTTGTTAATTATTGCAGCTTGTATTGCAGCAGTTGATTTTATGCAGCTAGAAAAGTAAATATATTTTTTTTAAACAAATAATTCTGATTTAAGATATTAAAAAAATTTTTTTTTTAAAGTTGAGTGATTATTAATTTTTTTAATTTACTCTTGTAATTTTATTTGTAATTGGAATTATTGTCATCACAAATTGCCGGCATAATTAACTTTCTGTTCTTGATTGATAATTTAGTTTATCGAAGGTATTATATTCACTAAAATACATATTACTTGAAATGAATTAAGTACACGATTGTCTTTTGAGACATGATTTGTTCACAGACTTTGTATTATACTAGACCATATAAAGGTGAAATGTGATGCAAAGGCAGACATATATAATTGGAAGAATTAGATTTGGCCTTTTTCTTTATAAGACATTGATAGTAAATACTTTTCTTACAGTAAAAAATATGAAATATATATGAAAATAAGAAATATACGAATGATTTGCAGTACGTTCAACTTCTTTTACTCAATTAGATATAATTGTTTTTGCTCATCATTTTTAATATCGCTGCTTAGCGGTCTAGTAATATAACGAAGTTATTATAACATATATTATAGAAGTTTATGTGAGTGACATTTTAAATCCAAATATAAAAAGAGGTTTAATTAAATGTTTTGTTATTTAATTGTATTTATGAATATCTTATGTTATTCTTATATACATTTTTTATTTGGGATTTTTGTCTATACAGTTTGAATTGATTAAAATTTGATTTTCTTATTAATTTAATTTTAATTAACGATATATTTTATAAAAGAATTTTTGTTGATTAAATAAGTAAAAGAAATATTGTATTATATGTATGCAGGGTGTCTGACGTAAAGTGTCACACCGAAAATATACAAGTAGATCTCGTTATTTGGAGATGATTTTTCCTCGGCAAAAATATAGAAGCATTAATAATTAATTTTCGAGATTAATTATAAGCGATTGAAAATAAAGGGTTTTTCGCAAACTAAGTTTGTGAAAATAAAATATTAACAAAACCACATTCCCCAATTAATTTCAAGTAGAGTTTACTATAATAAAATTTTAATTTAAAGCTCAGTTATAAAGATACATGATGGTAAAAATTGGGAACATTCAAAAAATGATGGCCTTTCTCGACATTTTTGCTGAGGAAAAATCTCCAAATATCGAGATCTACTTGTATAATTTCCGTGTGACACTTTACGTAAGACACCCTGTATATATATAAATATTAAATTTAATTTTTTCTTACTTTTTCTTCTAGAACTCGCCTCTTGCTTTTAGTTCCCTTTGTATTAAATAATTGTCACTGTTATTTTCTCTTCTCAGTTGTTACCGCTACTAACTGCTGTTCGCTTATGTATAGATTTGATATTGAACGGGCAAATAAATAGCACATGTGGAAAACATTGAAGTCAAGCGCTTAAAGATGTTTATATATACTTAATAACACACAGATATTTCTTCGATTTGTCTCATAACATTGTCATATAATAAACAGAATATTTTCCGAAACTGCGAAATCGTTAAATTTCGATATCTAAATTAAAGCGAAACATTTAACGAAGAATGATATATAAGAGAATATGTTTTGAATATATAAAATAATTTTGATGCTGTAGCATTTTCTATTTGTGATAAAATATAATATTAATGAACAAGCTAGAAAAGCATATAACTATTTTTTGCAGCTGGATTTTTGATTGATATTATTATTTCTCGTAGTTTTACACATTTTTACTAGTTTAATACTATTTTATTCTCGAATTCTACATTTGCAATATTCTATTTGGTTGGAAAATTTCTGAAATATACGGATGTAACAATAGTACAAGGAGAGTAGTGAAGGCATAGAGAAAATAATAATTAACTGAAATTTATCTTTAATGTACACATACGTAATCATATACATATGATGATTCATACATGGGAGAATTTTTTGTTATATTTTACCATAAAATTCATTACATATTTTATAGTGTTCGACATTAAGTCAAAAATTATTATACTGCATGTAAAAATTATCATGAGTGATTAAATTGGTGGATTGAAAATATTATGCCGCTACGTCGAATTTCTATAAAATATTTTATATTGTTACAACTTTTTTTGGTATCTATTCTATTTAAAACACTTTGAATTATAAATTTATAATATAATTTTCGATATATTTAAATGTTTTTGAAATTTTACTATATATTTTAGTAAAATAATCAAACATTTTTATATCTTATTTAAGAAGATATCAATATGCATTATTATGATAAAAATATTAATCCGAGAAGCTCGTATAAAATTTTTGCAATATGTTATTGTCTCGTGATTGACATGAATTTCAGGATAATATATAAGACCAAATTCTTGTTGTGTATTAATTGTGTCGCATATACATTATGGATCGAAGTTATAAGCTATCGTACAACTGGTTCACACATGTCATTATATAAAAAGTTAATATCGGACTTTACAAACAAAAAGAGGAAAGAGCACGAAAAAAAAATTAAATAAGCCGCTGTCTGTCATCATGATTGATTTAATTTGATGCGAGATGTTCAATACTTATTTAATACGGTTTGTAATTAATGAATGATAAATCAAAGATTATTAGTTACGTTAATGATTATTACGCATATGATCTGCGTACTCAATGTACCTTGTAAATTGTCTACAACATATTGAGCACATATATTTATAGGGTTGTGGGTTTCTGGTATTCTTATTGCTTTTATTCGTTGGCGGGTTCTTCTGATTACTCTGTTGTGCACCCATAGTCTCAGTCTGTATGATTTTCTGTCTTTTTGGTTTGAGTTTACACTACTTGGTTTTTTGATTATTCGCTACAATCTGTTATTTGTGCAGCTGGAAATAAAGATAATTTTTCTAAACAAGTAATTTTGATTTATATATTTAAAACTTTTTTTATAAAGTTGAATTATTATTATTTTTAGTTTTGAATTTACTCTTGTTACTTCATTTTTAATTGGAATTATTTTGATAATAATCTGTTGCAATAATTAACATTCAGTAAACAGTAAAATCGAAACAGTAAAAAATATCGAATACATATGAAAATAAGAAATATACGTAATGACTATAGCAGTCTAATAATTTACTTGTAATATGTAGAAGTTTATATGATGACAATTAAAATCCAAAGATAAAAAAAATTTAAATAAATGTTTTGTTACTTAATTACACTCATGAACAACTTATGTTTTTTTATAGATTTTGTTTTTTAATCTTTTCTTTCTTTACAATTGAAATTTATTAAAAATTTCTTTATTAATTTAATTTTAACTAACGTTATATTTGTTCCAGTAATTTTTGTCGATTAAATAAGTAAAAGAGGTATTGTATTATATGTATATATATAAATATTATATTTAATTGTTGCTTACTTTTTCTTTTTGAACTCGCCTCTTACTTCTAGTTCTTTTTATAATAAAAAGCTGTCGTCACTGTTATGTCTTCTTCTCAGTTGTTACTTTCACTAACTGCTGTTCGCTTATGGATAGATTTGACACTGAACAGGCACATAAATAGCAAGTGTAGAAAATATTGAACTAAAGCGATCAGAGATATTTATAACACACACAAATATTTCTTCGATTTGTCTCATAACCTTGTCATATATAATAAACAGAATATTTATAGAATCCGCGAAATCGTTAAATTTTAATATCTAAATTAAAGCAGAACATTTAAGCGTCAAAAAATAATATATAAGAAAAAACTTTTAAATACTCTATAATTTAATTTTTATGTTGTTGCATTCAATGATAACATATAATAAACAAGCGCTGAAAGCAAATGATTATATTTGATTTTTGATTGATATTGTTATTTCTCATAGTTTCACACAACATTTTTTACTAGTTTAATATCACTTTATACTTAAATTCTACATTTGGAATTCTACATTCTATTCGGTAGGGTAATTTCTGAAATATACGGATGTAACAATAGTGCAAGGAGAGTAGTGAAGGTATAGAGAAAATAATAATTAAATTTAACTTATCTTTAATGTACACATACATAATCATATACATATATGATGATTCATACACGGAGAGAATTTTTCGTTATATTTTACCATATAATTCATTACATATTTTATAGTGTTCGGTATTAAGTCAAAAATTACCATGCAGCATGTTAAAATTATTATGAATGGTTAAATTTTATTGAAAATATGCTGCATTGTAAAATTTCTATAAAATATTTTGTATCCTTATCACTTTTTTGGTGTCTATTTCATATAAAACATTTAGAATTATAAATATGTAATATAATTTTGCAGTTATTTAAAAATGTTTAAAATTTTACTATATATATATATATTTTAGTAAAATTGATCAAACACTTTTATATGTTAATGTAGAAGATATTAATATTTGTTATTATGATAAAAATATTAATCAAAGAAACGTTTATAAAATTCTTGCTTTATGTTATTGTCTCATGATTGCCATGAATTTCAGGATAAATTTTAAGACAAAATTCTTTCTGTGTATTAAATGTGTCGCGTATACATCATGGATCGAAGTTTTAAGCTATCGTCCAACTGAATGCGTTGTCGTTATGTTATAAAATTAATATTGGACTTTACAAACCAAATAAGGAAAAAGTACGAGAAAAAATTAAATAAGCCGTTATCGGTCATCAGGGTTGATTTAGAAGATGCGAGATGTTCATTGCTTATTTAGTACGATTTGTAGTTACTAAATAATAAATTAAAATAACGATAAAATTAATTAAGTCGCCAGTGATGAGTAAACCTAGATAAATTTATTGAAATTTCGATTTAACTGGCCAGTACAATTTATTAGAAATACTACGTTTCGACCTTTACTAAAATTATTACTCGTAAAATTACTAATGAATAATTTTACTGCTGTCGAATCAACATCTTGAAGGTTACACTTGAAAAGGATCCGTACTTAAGGGTCGAAACGTAATGTTTCTAATAAACTGTACTTGCCAGTTAGGTCGAAATTTCAATAAATTTGAATAAATTAAAGAATATCTACGTACATGTTTAGTTTGACGGATATGATGATTGTACTCTTGCAAATTGGTAAAACGTCTCCCACATTTTGAGCATATATGTACTTTGGATGTTTCGGTATACTTCGGGTTATTTCTATTCCATGGGTTTTTCTTCTGATCATTCTGTTTTCCACTCATAGTCTTTGCTTGTATGATTCTTTGTTTTTTCGGTTTGAATTTACACCACTAGGTTTCTTGATTATTTGCTACAATCTGTTATTTGTGCTGCTGGAAATAAAGGTAATTTTTGTAAACAAATAATTTTGATTTACATATTTAAAAATTTTTTTTATAAAATTTAGTGATTATTATTTTATTTTAAATTTACTCGTGTAATGTTATTTGTAATTGGACTTATTGTCATCACAAATTGCTGTCAGAATTAACTTTCTGGTCTTGATTGATAATTTAGTTTATCGAAGGTGAGATATTATATTCACGAAAATTGCATATGACTTGAAATGAATTAAGTACACGATTGTCTTTTGAGATATAATTTATTCACAGATTTTCTATTATACCAGACCATATAAGGGTGAAATGTGATGGAAGAACAGACATATATAATTGGAAGAATTATATATGGTGTTTTTTTTTATAAGACATTGATAGTAAATACACATCTTACAGTAAAAGTGATACAATAAAAAATATCAAATATATGAAAATAAGAAATATACTAATGACTTGTAGTACAAACGTCTAGTTTATTCTATTCAATTTAATATGCCTGTTTTTGCTCATTCTTTTTAATGTCGCAATTTTAGCGGTCTTATAATGTACTTGTATTATATACAAAAGTTTATACGATGACAAATTAAAATTGAAAGATAAAAATATGTTAAATTTAAATAAATATTTTGTTATTTAATTATATTAATGGACAACTTACATTTTTATATAAATATTTTTTTAAAGCTTTATTTTCTTTACAGTAGAAATTTGTTAAAAATCAATTTTTTTATTAATTTAACTCACGAAATATTATTAATTAGTTTTTGTTGTTTAAATAAGTAAAAGAAGTATTGTATTATATGTATATATATAAATATTATATTTAATTGTTGCTTACTTTTTCTTTTTGAACTCGCCTCTTCTAGTTCTTTTTATAATAAAAAGCTGTCGTCACTGTTATGTCTTCTTCTCAGTTGTTACTTTCACTAACTGCTGTTCGCTTATGGATAGATTTGACACTGAACAGGCACATAAATAGCAAGTGTAGAAAATATTGAACTAAAGCGATCAGAGATATTTATAAAACACACAAATATTTCTTCGATTTGTCTCATAACCTTGTCATATATAATAAACAGAATGTTTATAGAATCCGCGAAATCGTTAAATTTTAATATCTAAATTAAGGCAGAACATTTAAGCGCTAAAAAATAATATATAAGAAAAAATTTTGAAATACTCTATAATTTAATTTGTACAATATATTGTTGCATTCAATGATAACATATAATGAACAAGCGCTGAAAGCAAATGACTATATTTGATTTTTGATTGATATTGTTATTTTTCATAGTTTCACGCAACATTTTTTACTAGTTTTAATACCACTTTATACTTGAATTCTACATTTGGAATTCTACATTCTATTCGGTAGGGTAATTTCTGAAATATACGGATGTAACAATAGTACAAGGAGAGTAGTGAAGGCATAGAGAAAATAATAATTAAATCCAACTTATCTTTAATGTACACATACATAATCATATACATATGATGATTTATACATGGGAGAATATTTCGTTATATTTTACCATAAAATTCATTACATATTTTATAGTGTTCGACATTAAGTCAAAAATTATCATGTTAAAATTATTATGGTTGTTTAAATGGGTGGATTGAAAATATTATGATGCTATGTCAAATTTATATAAAATATTTTCTATCGTTATAACTTTTTTGATATTTATTCTACTTAAAACACTTCGAATTATAAATTTATAATACAATTTTCGATATAATTAAATGTTCTTGAAATTTTACTGTATATTTTAGCAAAATTGATCAAGCATTTATTATATCTTATTATAGAAGATATTAATATTTGTTATTATGATAAATATATTAATCAGAGAAACGTTTATAAAATTTTTGCAATATGTTATTGTACAATAATTGCCATGAATTTCAGGATAAATTTTAAGACAAAAATTTTTTCTGTGTATTAATTATGTCGCGTATACAATATGACTCGAAGTTAGCAGCTATCGTACAACTGGACGCGTGGTCATTATATTAAAAAATTAGTGTCGGACTTTACAAACCAAAAAAGGAAAAAAAGAGTACGAGAATAAAATCAAATAAGTCGCTGTCAGTCATCAGGATTGATTTAGTAGATGCGAGATGTTCCTTGCTTATTTAGTACGGTCGAAATTTTAATAAATTTGAATAAATCAAAGATTAGTTACGTACATGATGATGAAGGTTATGAGCTATTAAATCACTCAAATTGAAAAAACATCTGCTACATATTGAGCATATATATGTATGAGTATCACGGTTATGAGATACGTACTCATACAAACTGGAAAAACGTCTGCCACATCTTGAGCATGGAAATGTTTGGGATGTTGGGTTTCCGGTATTCTTCTGGTTTCCATTCATTGACGGGTTCTTCTGACCATTCTGTCTTTCACTCATAGTCTCTGTTTGTATGGTTTTCTGTCTTTTCGGTTTGAATTTACACCACTTGGTTTCTTGATTATTTTCTATAATCTGGTATTTTTGCAGCTGGAAATAAAGGTAATTTTTTCAAACAAGTAATTTTGATTTATATATTAAAAAATTTTTTTTTAAATAAAGTTTAGTGATTATTAATTTTTTAAATTTATTTTTGTAATTTTATCTATAATTAGAATTATTGTGGTCACAAACTGTTGTCATAATTAACAATCTGTTCTATATTGATAATTTATTATATCGAAGGTGAGATACCATATTTACGAACATTTTATATGACTTGAAATGTATTACGTACATGATTGTTCTTTGAGACATGAACAATCACAGACTTTTATGTATTATACTAGAACATATAAGAGTTATAAAGTGAAATGTGATGCAAGGGCAATTATATTTAATTGAACGGAATTAGATGTGGCGTTCTTCTTGATAAGAGATTGATAGTAAATGCAAACATTTTACAGTGAAAGTGAAACAGTAAAAAATATCAAAAACATGAACGTAAGAAAAATACTAATGAGCAGCGATCTAATAATGTACTTATAATATATACAGAATTTATATGACTAACAATTAAAATTTAAAGATAAAAAGAATTTAATATATATGTTTCGTTAATTAATTACACTCATGAATAACTTATAATTTTTTACAGATTTTTTTATTTAAAGTTTTTTTTCCTTACAGTTGAAATTTATTAAAATTCGATTTTTTTCTTAATTTAATTGTAATTTACGATATATTTTATCAATAAATTTTTGTTGATTAAATAAGTAAAAAAGATATTGTATTGTATGTGTGTGTGTATATATATATATATATATATATATATATATATATATATATATGTATAAATTAATATTATATTTAACTCTTTCTTACTTTTTCTTCTAGAACTCGCTTCTTGCTTTTAGTTTCCTTTGTATTAAATAACTGTTGTCACTGTTATTATCTTTTTTCAGTTATTATTGCTACTAGCTCCTTATAGATAGATCGCTTATGGATAGATTTTACACTCTACAGGCAAATAAATAGCAAATGTGGAAAACATTAAACTTAACCGCTTAAAGATGTTTATTATTACAAACATAGATATATTTTCTTTATTTGCCGCGTAATCTTTTCATATATTAAACGGAATATTTTTCGAATCTGTGACGTTGTTAAATTTCTATATCTAAATTAAAGCGAAACATTTAAACAAAGAATGATATATAGGAGAATATGTTTTAAATATTATATAAAGTAATTTTGATGCTGTAGCATTTTCTATTTATGGTAAAATATTAAGGAGCAAGCCCGAAAAGCAAATAACTGTTCGATTTTTTTTTTGATATTGTTATTTCTAATAGTTTCACCGAACATTTTTGCTAGTTTAATACTTCTTTATTTTCGAATTCTACATTTTATTGTTTGTGAGATCTTTTAAATTTACAGATGTAACAATAGTAGGGAGAAGAGAGAAGGCATAGCGAATATAATAAATTATCAAAACTTGTTTTTAATATACATGTTCGCATTTATATACATATAAAATTCATACATATGGATAGAATTTTTTTTGTTATATTTTATCATAAAATTTTATATATATTTTATCGAGTTTGGCATTATGTCGAAAATTATCTTGTTGCTTATTAAAATTATCATGAATGATTAAATTGGATTGAAAATGTTATGTTGCTACGTCAAATTTCTTTAAAATATTTTATATTGTTCTAACTTTTTTGGTATTTATACCATTTAAAACACTTAGAATTATAAATAGATAATTGGGATCTATTTAAAGATGTTTGAAATTTTACTATATATGTATATGGGAAAAAGGAAACTGTAAAGGAAAAAGGTTTTTTTTAATATTGTATAAAATATTTTTTGTGTTGTAAATTTGTTATTAATGTTAAAGTATAAATAAGGGGAAAATAAATAATTATTATATTATTTATTGTATTGCATCAGTAACTTCAAATAGTACAAAATGCATAATTCAAAGAGTCGCAAATTTCGAAATGCATATCGATGTTTTATGCAATCGAATCTGATGACAACTAATTAAATTTATTTACATAATTGTAGCTATAATCTATAACTATACGTATATATTGTTATAATCAATTCAGTTTAACACGCTCTATATGCCTATGAAAGGTGATTCGCGAATTATGGGTATATTATATTGTGTTTTGTATTAAGTCGAAAATTACCATGCTGCATGTTAAAATTATTATAAATGATTTAATTGCATTGAAAATATTGCTACCATGCAAAATTTATATAAAATATTTTGTATTGTTATCATTTTTTTGGTATTTATTTCATATAAAACAATTAGAATTATAAATATAATATATAATGTAATTTTGCAGATATTTAAATATGTTTAAAATTTTACTATATATTTTAGTGAAATTCGTCAAACATGTTTTATATGTTATTGTATAAGATATTAATATTTATTATTATGATAAAAATATTAATCAGACAAACGTTTGTAAAATTCTTGCAATTTGTTATTGTTCCATGATTGTCATGAATTTTAGGATAAAATTTTTTCTGTGTATTAAATGTGTCGCGTATACATTATGGGATCGAAGTTATAAGAAGTTATTATCGTACTGGACGCGTTGAAATTATGTTAAAAAGTTAATATGTAACTTCACAAACCAAAAAAGAAAAAAAAAGAGTGCGAGAGTAAAATTAAATAAGTCGCTGTCGGTCATCATGATTGATTTAGTAAATGCGAGATGTTGCTTATTTAATATTATATTTGCAATTAATGAGTAATAATTTAAACTTATTTATTACGAACAGCAGGACATGTATGTAACATTAACTCCAATTGTGTGTCAAACGTTTCATGACAATGTGGGCATTGATATATTTTTCTAATTTCTTTTTTTATCTGACTGGGGTTGCTTTTATTATCTGACAAGGTCCTTTTCTGTCCATTCTTTCTTCCGCTCATAGTCTCTGCCTGTATGATTTTCTGTATTTTTGGTTTGAATTTAAACTACTTGGTTTGTTGATTATTTGCCACAATCTGTTATTTGTGCAGCTGGAAATAAAGATAATATTTTTAAACAGGTAATTTTGTTTTATATATTAAAAATTTTTTTATATAAAAATTAGTAGTGATTATTTTATTTTAGTTTACTCTTGTAATTTTATTTGTAATTGGAATAATTGTCATCACAAACTGTTGTCATAATTATCTTTCTGTTTTTTATTGGTAATTTAATTGATCGAAGGTGAGGTAACATATTCACGAAAATTTCATATGGTTTGAAATGAATTACGTTCACGATTGTGTTTTGAGACCTGAGAATTCACGAAAACAGTAAAACATATCAAATACATATAAATATAAGGAATATACTAATGACTATATAATGTACTTGTAATATATAGAAGTTCATGTGACTGACAATTAAAATCCAAAGATAAATAAAATTTAAATAAATGTTTTGTTAATTAATTACACTTATGAACAATTTATGTTATTTTACAAATTCTTTTATTTAAAGTTTTTTGTCTTTACAGTTGAAATTGATTAAAACTCGATTTTTTTAGTAATTTAATTTTAATTAACAATATATTTTATCAATTAATTTTTGTTGATTAAATAAGTGAAAAAGATTGTATTATATGTATACATATAAATTAATATTATATTTAACTTTTTCTTACTTTTTCTTTTAGAACTCGTCTTTTGCTTTTAGTTCTTTTTGTATTATATAATTGCTGTCACTGATATTATCTCTTCTCAGTTGTTACTGCTACTAGCTGCTGTTTGCTTATGGATAGATTTTACACTGTACGAGCAAATATATAGCAAATGTAGAAAACATTGAACTCAAACGCTTAAAGTTTATAATAACACCCACAGATATTTCTTCGATTTGTCTCATAACCTTGTCTTATATAATAAAAAGAATATTTTTAGAATCCGCGAAATCGTTAAATTTCGATATCAAATTAAAGCTGCACATTTAAGCGACAAAGAATAATATATGTGGAAGAATATGTTTTAAATATTATATAAAATAATCTTGAGGCTGTAGCGGTTTTTATTTGTAATAAAATATTAATGAACAAGTCAGAAAAGCAAATAACTATTTGATTTTTGAATGATATTGTTATTTCTCACAGTTTCACACAACATTTTTTACTAGTATAATACTTCTTTATCTTCGAATTTTACATTTGCAAGATCTTATTCGGGTGGGTAATTTCTGAAATATACGGATGTAACAATAGTGCAAGGAGAGTAGTGAAGGCATAGAGAAAATAATAATTAAATCAAACTTATCTTTAATGTACACATACGTAATCATATACCTACATATGATGATTTATATACGGAGAGAATTTTTCGTATTTTACCATAAAATTCATTATATATTTGATCGTATTTGGTATTATGTCGAAAATTACCATGCTGTATGTTAAAATTTACATGAATGATTAAGTTGGATTACAAATATTATGCTGCTATGTCAAATTTCTATAAAATATTTTTTGTTATAACCTTTTTTGGTATGTATTCCATTTAAAACACTTTGAATTATAAATTTATAATACAATTTTCGACATATTTAAATGTTTTTGAAATTTTACTATATATTTTAGTAAAATTGATCAAACAATTATTATATCTTATTGTAAAAGATATTAATATTTGTTATTATGATAAAAATATTAACCGGAGAAACGTTTATAAAATTCTTGCAATATGTTATTATCTTATGATGAATTATAGTATAAATTTTAAAACAAAGTTTTTGCTGTGTATTAATTGTGTCGCTTATACAATATGGATCGAAGTTAATAGCTATCGTACAACTGGACGCATTGTCAGTATATTAAATAATTAATATCGGACTTTAGAAACCGAAAGAGGGTAGAAAAGAGTGCGAGAATAAAATTAAATAAGTCGCTGTCGGTCATCATGATTGATTTAGTTTCATGGGAGATGTTCATTGCTTATTTGATACGATTTTTAATTACTATATAATAAAAATATTATTTACGTAAATATATTATTACATTAATATATCATAAAAATATTATTTACGTAAAAATATTATTTACGCATATGAACATTAAGCATATGATCTAGTATCTCATTGTGAGATGAAAACTCTATATTACATATTGCGCATATATTTTTAACGGGTGGTGCGTATTTGGAATCCTGTTTTTTATCCATTGACGGGTTTTTCTTCTGATCACTCTGTCTTCCACTCAGTCTCTGCTTGTATGATTTTTGTTTTTTCGGTTTGAATTTACACCACTAGGTTTCTTGATTATTTGCCACAATCTGTTATTTGTGCTGCTGGAAATAAAGGTAATTTTTGTAAACAAATAATTTTGATTTACATATTTAAAAATTTTTAAATAAAATTTAGTGATTATTATTTTATTTTAAATTTACTCGTCTAGTGTTATTTGTAATTGGTATTATTGTCGTCACAAATTGCTGTCATAATTAACTTTCTGTTTTTGATTGATAATTTAGTTTATCGAAGGTGATATATTATATTCACGAAAATTGCATATGACTTGAAATGAATTAAGTACACAATTGTCTTTTGAGACAATTTATTCACAGATTTTGTATTATATCAGATCATATAAGGGTGAAATGTGATGGAAGAACAGACATATATGATTGGAATAATTATATATGGTGTTTTTTTTATAAGACATTGATAGTAAATACACATCTTACAGTAAAAGTGATACAATAAAAAATATCAAATTCATGAAAATAAGAAATATACTAATGACTTAAATATACTAATGACGTAGTACATACGTCTAGTTTATTTAATTCAATTTAATATGCCTGTTTTTGCTCATTCTTTTTAATGTCGCAGTTTTAGCGGTCTAATAATGTACTTGTATAATATACAAAAGTTTATACGATGACAATTAAAATTTAAAAATAAAAATATGTTAAATTTAAATAAATATTTTGTTATTTAATTACATTAATGGACAACTTACATTTTTATATAAATATTTTTTTTTTAAAGCTTTTTCTTCTTTACAGTAGAAATTTGTTAAAAATAAATTTTTTTATTAATTTAAATTAAACTCACGAAATATTATTAATTAATTTTTGTTGTTTAAATGAGTAAAAGAAATATTGTATTATATGTATATATATAAATATTATATTTAATTGTTGCTTACTTTTTCTTTTTGAACTCGCCTCTTACTTCTAGTTTTTTTTTATAATAAAAAGCTGTTGTCACTGTTATGTCTTCTTCTCAGTTGTTACTTTCACTAACTGCTGTTCGCTTATGGATAGATTTGACACTGAACAGGCACATAAATAGCAAGTGTTGAAAATATTGAACTAAAGCGATCAGAGATATTTATAACACACACAAATATTTCTTCGATTTGTCTCATAACCTTGTCATATATAATAAACAGAATATTTATAGAATCCGCGAAATCGTTAAATTTTAATATCTAAATTAAGGCAGAACATTTAAGCGCCAAAAAATAATATATAAGAAAAAATTTTGAAATACTTTATAATTTAATTTGTATGTTGTTGCATTCAATGATAACATATAATGAACAAGCGCTGAAAGCAAATGATTATATTTGATTTTTGATTGATATTGTTATTTTTCATAGTTTCACGCATCATTTTTTACTAGTTTCAATACCACTTTATACTTGAATTCTACATTTGGAATACTACATTCTATTCGGTAGGGTAATTTCTGAAATATACGGATGTAACAATAGTACAAGAAGAGTAGTGAAGGCATAGAGAAAATAATAATTAAATCCAACTTATCTTTAATGTACACATACGTAATCATATACATATGATGATTTATACATGGGAGAATATTTCGTTATATTTTACCATAAAATTCATTACATATTTTATAGTGTTCGACATTAAGTCAAAAATTATCAGGTTAAAATTATTATGATTGTTTAAATGGGTGGATTGAATATATTATGATGCTATGTCAAATTTATATAAAATATTTTCTATCGTTATAATTCTTTTGGTAATTATTCTACTTAAAACACTTCGAATTATAAATTTATAATACAATTTTCGATATATTTAAATGTTCTTGAAATTTTACTGTATATTTTAGCAAAATTGATCAAGCATTTATTATATCTTATTATAGAAGATATTAATATTTGTTATTATGATAAATATATTAATCAGAAAAACGTTTATAAAATTTTTGCAATATGTTATTGTACAATAATTGCCATGAATTTCAGGATAAATTTTAAGACAAAAATTTTTTCTGTGTATTAATTATGTCGCGTATACAATATGACTCGAAGTTAGCAGCTATCGTACAACTGGACGCGTGGTCATTATATTAAAAAATTAATGTCGGACTTTACAAACCAAAAAAGGAAAAAAAGAGTACGAGAATAAAATTAAATAAGTCGCTGTCAGTCATCACGACTGCGACCTAGTAGATGCTAGATGTTTATTGCTTATTTAATACGATTTGTAATTAATGAATAATAAATCAATCATTTTTCATTACGACCAGGACGAGCGGGACACATATATGGTTCAGAAACTCATCGTGAGTCTGAAACGTTTGATAACAATATCTGCATTCATATGCGTTTTCGATTTTGGTTTTGCTTTCATTATTTGACGAGATTTTTTCCTGACCACTTTGTCTTCCACTCATAGTCTCTGCCTGTATGGTTTTCTGTCTTTTCGGTTTGAATTTACACCACTTGTTTTGTTGATTTTTTGTCACAATCTGTTATTTGTGCAGCTAGAAATAAAGATAATTTTTTTGAACAAGTAATTTTGACTTCGTATATTTAAAAATTTGTTTTATAAAGTGTAGTGATTATTTTTTTTAAATTTATTATTGTATTATAATTTTCTTTGTAATTGGAATAATTGTCATCACAAACTGTTGTCATAATTATTTTTCTGTTTTTTATATTGATAATTTAATTGATTAAAGGTGAGGTAACATAATATTTACAAAAATTCCATATGGTTTAAAATGAATTACGTATACGATTGTGTTTTGAGACATGAGAATTCACGAATTTCTATTTAGTATATCTGAATATATAAGGGTTATATGGTGAAATGTGATGCAAGGGCAACTATATGTAATTGAACGAAATTAGATATACCGTTTTTCTTGATACACTACTTGATACACTAAATACATTTCTTACAGTAAATGTGAAACAGTAAGTCTAAACCAGTAATTTTGATATATATATATTTAAATTGTTTTTGTAAAGTTGAGTGATTATTATTTTCTTGTTGAATTTTATTTGTAATTGGAATTATTTTGATCACAATCTGCTGTCATAATTAACATTTAGTAAAGCAGTAAAAAATATCAAATACATATGAAAATAAGAAATATACTAATGACTAGCGGTCTAATAATTTACTTGTAACATACAGAAGTTTATGTGACGGACAATTAAAATCGAGAGATAATAAAATTTAAATAAATGTTTTGTTAATTAAATACACTCATGAACAACTTATGTTTTTTTACAGATGTTTGTATTTAATGTTTTTTGTCTCTACAGTTGAAATTTATTAAAACTCAATTTTTTAATTAATTTAATTTTAATTAACGATATATTTTAGCAGTTAATTTTTGTTGATTAAATAAGTAAAGAAGATATTGTATCATGTATATATATATATATATATATATATATATATATATAAATTAATATTATATTTAACTTTTTCTTACTTTTTCTTATAGAACGCGCCTCTTGCTTTTAGTTCCTTTTGTATTAAATAATTGCTAGCACTGGTATTATCTTTCTTCAGTTGTTACTGCTACTAACTGCTGTTCGTTTATATGAGTAGATTGTACAGGCGAATATATAGCAAATGTGAAAAATATTGAACTAATGCGCTTAAAGATGTTTATCATAGCACACGCAGGCATTTTTTCGGTTTGCCGCATAACCTTGTTATATAATAAACGGAATATTTTTAGAATTATAGAAATCATAAAATTTCGATACCTATGTTAAAGCATAACTATTTTATTTTTGATTGATATTGATTTGTTCTGACAGGTTTTCACAACTTTTTTTTAATAGTTTAATACTAGATACTTTATTCTCGAATTCTACAGTTGCAATATTTTATTCGTTCGGGAGATTTTCGAGATTTACGGATGTAACAATAGTGTGGAGGGGAGTAAAGGCATAGAGAAAATAATAATTTACTAAAATTTGCTTTTAATGTACATAATATGTATTCATATACATATGATAATTCATACGCGGAGAGAATTTTTCGTTATATTTTACCATAAAATTCATTACATATTATATAGTGTTCGGTATTAAGTCAAAAATTACCATGCAGCATGTTAAAATTATCATGAATGGTTAAATTTGATTGAAAATATGCTGCATTGTAAAATTTCTATAAAATATTTAGTATCCTTATCACTTTTTTGGTATCTATTTCATATAATACATTTAGAATTATAAATATGTAATATAATTTTGAAGTTATTTAAAAATGTTTAAAATTTTAGTATATATATTATATATTTTAGCAAAATTGATCAAACACTTCTATATGTTAATGTAGAAGATATTAATATTTGTTATTATGATAAAAATTTTAATCAAAGAAACGTTTATGAAATTCTTGCTTTTTGTTATTGTCCCTAATTTGCCATGAATTTCAGGATAAATTTTAAGACAAAATTCTTTCTGTGTATTAAATGTGTCGCGTATACATCATGGATTGAAGTTTTAAGCTAGCGTTCAACTGAATGCGTTGTCGTTATGTTATAAAATTAATATTGGACATTACAAACCAAAAAAGGAAAAAGTACGAGAAAAAATTAAATAAGCCGCTATCGGTCATCAGGATTGATATAGTAGATGCGAGATGTTCCTTGCTTATTTAGTTCGGTCGATATTTCAATAAATTTGAATAAATCAAAGATTAGTTACGTACATGATGGTCACGGTAATGATCTAATAAATCACTCCAATTGGAAAAATGTCTGTCACATATTGAGCATATATTTGTATGCCTATTAAGGACATGATTCATGTAATTAGACCGACTGGAAAAACGTCTGCCACATCTTGAGCATGGAAATTCTTGGTATGTTGGGTTTCCGGTATTCTTCTGGTTTCCATTCATTGACGGGTTCTTCTGATCATTCTGTTTTCCACTCATAGTCTCTGTTTGTATGGTTTTCTGTCTTTTCGGTTTGAATTTACACCACTTGGTTTCTTGATTATTTTCTATAATCTGCTATTTTTGCAGCTGGAAATAAAGGTAATTTTTTCAAACAAGTAATTTTGATTTATATAATAAAAAAATTTTTTTTTTTAATAAAGTTTAGTGATTATTAATTTTTTTAATTTACTTTTGTAATTTTATCTATAATTAGAATTACTGTGGTCACAAATTGTTGTCATAATTAACATTCTGTTCTTTATTGATAAACTATTTTATCGAAGGTGAGATACCATATTCACGAACATTTTATATGACTTGAAATATATTACGTACATGATTGTTTTTCGAGACATGAGAAATCACAGACTTCTATGTATTATACCAGAACATATAAGAGTTATATAGTGAAATGTGATATAAGGGCAATTATATCTAATTGAACGGAATTAAATGTGACGTTCTTCTTGATAAGAGATTGATAGTAAATGCAAACATCTTACAGTAAGAGTGAAACAGTAAAAAATATCAAAAACATGAAAGTAAGAAAAATTCTAATGAGCAGCGATCTAATAATGTACTTATAATATATACAGAATTTATGACTGACAATTAGAATCCAAAGATAAAAAGAATTTAATATATATGTTTCGTTAATTAATTACACTCATGAATAACTTATAATTTTTTACAGATTTTTTTATTTAAAGTTTTTTTTCCTTACAGTTGAAATTTATTAAAGTTTGATTTTTTTCTTAATTTAATTGTAATTTACGATATATTTTATCAATAAATTTTTATTGATTAAATAAGTAAAAAAGATATTGTATCATACATACATACAATATATATATATATATATATATATATATATATAAAGTTTTTTTTCCTTACAGTTGAAATTTATTAAAGTTTGATTTTTTTCTTAATTTAATTGTAATTTACGATATATTTTATCAATAAATTTTTATTGATTAAATAAGTAAAAAAGATATTGTATCATACATACATACAATATATATATATATATATATATATATATATATATTGTATGTATGTATGATACAATATCTTTTTTACTTATTTAATCAATAAAAATTTATTGATAAAATATAT